TAAAAAGAATGCTAGAACTGTATGAGCACCGGCAAGAGCTTTCATTTGAGCTATAACTTGTACATGTGTCATATGAAAAATATGAAAATGAACCAATGTTCAATACCCAGCTCGGGCATCCAAAATAGCCTACTGTGTTTTTAAGTGTAAATAACTTTTGTACAGTAGAATAAAAACCAAAGTTATGCATATGTGCATACAATATAGCTTCTACACTTTCGAACGAAACCACTAACGGGGGTCTGATGCAATGCTGGCCCTTTAAATCTTAAAGCGAAAGTCGATGATGTCACAGACCCGGTACCAGGTCCGCGGAGATTAAGTGGTTTTAAAGAATATACATTTGTTATATTGTGTCGATCATCTAGACGGCAACTCGATGTTTGCAAACAGTCTCTATTTCAGTTCGATATATAATGATCAACCACACGAAAAATACCTTTACCTCCAAAAACCTTATTTCACAAGAAAACAGCATATTAATTATCATCATGTTTACCAACAGTCTCTTTTTCATTTCAATATATCATGATCAACCACTCGAAAAGAAAAATTAAAAATAAAAACAGCATGAATTACTCAATTACTTGAGTGCGAATCATTACCTTTTTAAAATAATAACTATGTGTAACAGAGGCCTTCTAGTGAAGTGCTGTGCAGGTAAACCTCACTCCTCTGACCTGTAAAGGGGCTTCAGCGACAGACACTAGAGGCCATGGTCTTTAGCCTCCTTGTTAGAGCAACTGACTCCCATACGAAGAATTGCCAGTTTGATCCCAGCTCAGACCGGGTTGGGTGCTGTAGGACTGGTGGGTTACACATGGGGGCTCGTCCGAGATAAGAGTGAGGTTTGGGGGGGTGGGTGTAACAGAGGCCAGCTAGCGAAGTGCTATGCAGGTAAACTTCACTCCTCTGACCTCTAAAGTTGCACTAGTGACAGATGCTAGTGGCCATGGTCTTTAGCCTCCTTGTTAGAGCAACTGACTCCCATAGGAGGAATTGCCGGTTTGATCTCAGCTCAGAGCGGGTTGTGTGCAGTAGGACCGGTGGGTTATATATGCTTTTAAATTATTAATTTATTCAATAATATTAAAATAAACAGGTAAAATATATTTTTCAGTTCTAATTCATTATATTTTAGTCACTAAGTTAAAACCTCAGCAGATATTCTGACTCTGATTGACTGTTTTCACTTTCCTCTCTCGTCTCGGCTCCTGCCATTCATGTTTATTTTCAGCTCTGGGCTCCCGTTTGAACCGCTCCAGCCAATAGCAGAATAGTAACTACAGGGGATGCGGGGCTGAAGATAGTAATGCCTCATCTAGTCAAATTAAGATGAAAAACCAATGCATAAAAGAAATGTCATTTATTTTGTTGTCTGCGATATCACATGTGTAATGAGATATATTTTGCACCCCTGATTCCTGTAGCCTCAAAATTAGAGCTTGCAAAATGCAAAACTAATGTTATTAAAATGAATGCATTTGATATATATTTACAGGCTGTCCAAAGTGGTGCGTAGCAGCTTGCTAAACACCCAGAAGGCACTTCGGGGACAGGTTGTGATGTCATCTGAGCTGGAAAACGTCTTCAACAGTCTTCTTGTTGGTAAAGTGCCAGCCATGTGGGCTGCAAAGTCCTACCCTTCCCTCAAACCCCTCGGCAGCTACGTGTCCGACTTCCTGGCCAGACTGCAGTTTCTACAGGTGAACGAGCATCAGCAGCTGAATACAAATGCATAAGACTAAACAGATGATCAGAGACCTTTAATGTTTGTGACCAGCTGGTGCATGTAGTCTCAGTGTCATTTCAGTAGCATTATCTTGTTCATAATATTGGGGTTATAAAATGAATATAGCAATAATGGTTTATTCTGCAATTAATAATGGCATTAAAGGTCCTGTGAAGTGCTTTGAAATATGCAGTTTTATTCGATGTTCAACGTAATCTCAACCAAAACACGAAGAGAGGGTGGGACATAGTGTGGCTCCTCCTCTTTTTGAAAACAGCCAATAGCATATAGTTTGATCACAGCTCTGCCAGTAATAGTGGTTGAGCTCAAGCGCATCGAATGAAAAGCAAATGAAAAGCAAATGAAAAGCGTCTTGAAGGGGGCGGGGCATGTCAGACACTAGATAGCATTTGATTGGTTATGAGGCAATGTGAATAAAAGCATTGATCCATTTAGGCGGAAGTGACAAACTACAAGCTTTACATGTTTATATCAGTTTTATATCTTCTAAATGCAAATGTCGTCACTGTTTTGGAGCACACTAGCTCATAGATATCTCAAAAACGAACAATACTGACACTAACATCTAAAAAACTTCATTTTATTTTATGGGACCTTTATTAATGTGGCAGAAAGTATGTTTTTAAACATGCAGAGCAACACACTTTTGTCTTTTAGCATGTGTTAGGTGTTGTGAGGACTCTATGTCCGCCTTTACAATATATTATTATTAGTTGTTGTTGACTAACTAGGACAATATTCTTATTTGTGTTGTTTTATTTGTGTTTTCTAATTTTTCGGACATCTTTATGTGTGTGTTGGCTTTAGGACTGGATTGATAACGGCCCTCCGTCAGTGTTCTGGGTGTCAGCATTTTATTTCACTCAGTCGTTCCTTACTGGTGTGTCGCAGAATTTCGCTCGCAAATACACCATTCCCATTGACTACATCGGCTTCGAGTTTGAGGTTTGTGTTCCAGTGAGGAAGTAAATATATTGAAAATGTACAAGATCAGTCTGGATCAGTGTTGCCAACTATTTCCAATGAAAAGTAGCTAAAGCCTGCCTGAAAAATAGCTAAGTGTTACCAGATGACGTCACACACTAATTTGCATATCAGTGACATCATCACGAAGTACCTGACAAGCGTAAGCCGGTCATGTCTCTACTCTCTGAGGCACTGTATATTATATTAAAACATTACATCCAGATGCACAATTAATAGGTTCTTATTAACATATTACTTTACGTGATCTCGGGATAATGACGTCATTGCATAATCACAACTCAAAAATATGTAGTATACAAAATAATTATTGTTTTCTCAAACTGACTGATCATCTTAGCAAAAACATTATTTGAAATATGTCCATTTAGATTTGTTTTAAAAATAGTCGACTATCTGTAAAATACAATATCTTTTTGATATGAATTTTTTTATTTTTAAATATAACACTGATAATGAAGTTACATTCTTTTAAACAATCACAGCTTGTGTACTTACTCTTTTTAGCTTGTGAAATTAACACATTTGTAAAAGTAACAACAATTATAACACTACTGGAATTTATTGATACCTAAATTGCCAACAATTATACATGTTAACATTCATTCATTCATTCATTTTCTTGTCTGCTTAGTCCTTTTATTAATCCAGGGTCGCCACAGCAAAATGAACCGCCAACTTATCCAGCTAGATTTTACGCAGCAGATGCCCTTCCAGCCACAACCCATCTCTAGGAATCATCCACACACACATTCTCACACACACTACGGACAATTTAGCCTACCCAATTCACCTGTACCGCATGTCTTTGGATTGTGGGGGAAACCGGAGCAAACCCACGCGAAGGCAGGGAGAACATGCAAACTCCACACAGAAACACCAACTGAGCCGAGGTTCGAACCAGCAACCTTCTTGCTGTGAGGCGACAGCACTACCTACTGCGCCACTGCCTCGCCGTACATGTTAACAAATATCAGTAAATTAGCAGTTATGAAAAACAATTTGAGCTAGCAATTTACGCTACTGAGTGAAGCCTGCAGCCACTGCTCTTTTGAGTCACCTTTTTAAAATTGCTAATAGTAGCCAAATTAATGTTAAAAATTGCTAAATTTGTTCCAAGGTGCTTTTTAAAAAAAAAGTTGCTAGGGTGGTATGAAACGTTGCTAAATCTAGCAACAAAATTGCTAAGTTGGCCACACTGGTCTGGATTGTAATTTTAATATATATATATATATATATATATATATAATTTTTTCAAAAGCAAACATAATTGGTGCTATTACACCTAATACTATCATTCAAAAGTTTCATACTTACATTATATACAGTAATAATGTGAAATTTTATTTGAAAGAAAAACAGCAGTTTTCTGTTTGATTTTATTTATTTTAATGTAATTTGTTTCTTTGATTCAAGGCTGAATTTACAGCATTATTATTCCAGTCTTCAATAGGCTTGAGATGATAACTGGTTTCAAGGTTTACCGCGGTTGGAAAAATAGTCAAGGTTTTAAAACCTCCAAAATTTTCTGCTGTACCGTTTCAAGGTATATGCAAGCTTTTATTTTCAGATGTTTTTTTACAACTATTTTATTTAACAAATCTCTTCTGCACCAACACCCAAGCCTGCTCTAGAGTTGAACAGTGCCGTGGCTTATTTATATCCACAGAAAAGAAAGATATCCAAAGATGCCTTTTCAAGATGTAGAGAAATCCTTGTTTTTGAAGCTAATAAACATAGCAGACGTCAATGATTTATTTTAATAATTTAGCCTGACATGTTTACTGTTCCAAATTTTTTTTGCTGTTTTTAAAAACTATATCATTCATTCATTTTCTTGTCGGCTTAGTCCCTTTATTAATCCGGAGTCGCCACAGCGGAATGAACCGCCAACTTATCCAGCAAGTTTTTATGCAGCGGATGCCCTTCCAGCCACAACCCATCTCTGGGAAACATCCACACACACAATTTCATACACTACGGACAATTTAGCCTACCCAATTCACCTGTTCCGCATGTCTTTGGACTGTGGGGGAAACCGGAGCACCCGGAGGAAACCCACGTGAAGGCAGGGAGAACATGCAAACTCCACACAAAAACGCCAACTGAGCCGAGGTTCGAACCAGCGACCTTCTTGCTGTGAGGCGACAGCACTACCTACTGCGCCACTGCCTCGCCCTTAAAAACTATATATATTGTGTTGAATCAGGGGAATACAGTTGGTTTTTATGCAGACATTTAAAAAGTAATCACCATACCATGATACTGTCAAACCCTGATATTTTTATTCAAGGGTATAATAGGGTCAGAATCTTATACTGGTCCATGCTTAGTCATTTCTCAATATAATTTGTATTGAAAACATTTATATTGTTTCATATTGTTTGTGGAAACTACAATTATATTTTTATTGTGGATCTTTTAGGTGTGCAAACAGGAAACTCATATGGAGGAGAAGCCGGAGGACGGAGCTTATATCCGTGGGCTCTTCCTTGAGGGCGCTCGCTGGAATCGAGAGCACATGGTTATCGGTGAGTCTGTTCCTAAAGTTCTCTTCGACTCGCTGCCCATAATCTGGCTGAAGCCCGGAGAGAGCGCCACCTTCCTGCACCAAAACGTTTATGTGTGTCCGGTGTACAAGACCAGCGCCAGACGAGGGACTCTATCCACCACCGGTCACTCCACGAACTATGTGCTGTCCATCGAGCTGCCCTCAGATCAGCCACAGAAGCACTGGGTAAACCGCGGCGTCGCCTGCCTGTGCCAACTAGACAACTGAACACATCCTCACACTACATTTGATGCCAAAACTGAGAGGATACAAAAACTCAACACTGATTGTTGTTGAGTTTAATATAACTTATAATATAACTTATAATATAACTTATAGCTTAAAGTGGTCAGGTTTAAGTATTTGCAATTTAACATTATAAGAGTGTAAACTTATAAAGTGTAACGAAAGATGGATACTAGATGCAGACATGTATACAATAAGAATAAATACACCATTTACATAGCTCATATTAACATTCATCACACTTTACACCGGCAGTTTTCCTTGCACTATGATCTGACAGACTTCATAATGTTCCCTGATGCTTTTTAATATGAAGTTACACACACTTTAAGATAAGTACGGTGAAGTGTGTGTGTGTGTCAGGTCTCATCTTGAGACTGTAGGTACACTGGTTTGGCTTGTTTCCTCAGTCTCTGCTGAGCTCGCAGTTTTCTGCCTTTCTGAGTGGCCAGACCCATCGGAGGAAGATACGTCTGGAGAGAAAAGATGAGATATTTCACAGACTTTCAGGAAAATCACCAGGAAGATCATGAGTCAGAATTCTCCCCAAGTCCTATTTCATGAGTGCACACTTAGATGTTTATGTTTGACAAATGTTAGGAGGTTTGGCATGCTGTCCCGGGAGAGAACCCTGAGCCCAGGGCTCCCGCCTGGTCCATAGAGCATGTGAGGGGAGTAGGAGATCAGGTGGTTCTCGAGAGCTCCCCGTGGTAAAGGAGGAGAAGGGTGGATCGGGGGTTTCTTCGGAAAACGAAGATAAGGGAGTAAATCTAGCTAGGCTACTCATAGTGAGTTTGGATTAATCTGATTGGCTAACTAATGAATGTAGATGGGTGGCCAGCTGCAGTCAATCATATCACGTGCTCCTCTCGCAATTAGTTTGTGAAACTTCACCTAAATCTACTTGTGCATGACTAAATGCACTGAGCTGCTGCTCAACTGATGATTTAGATAATTGCATTAAAGGGATACTTCACTCAAAACAAACTTTTTTGAGAAAACTCAACAATACCCTGTGGGCAGATTGACTTGTTCATTATATTGGTTTTTGCCCCATTGGCTTCCATTATAATCACATTTTTAATTGCAAAGCCATGACAGCATATACTCATGCATTCTTGATTATCAGTTGCAGTGAAAAAAATAGCTTAGTTTCCTGGTTTATATGGAAGATTTTGTGTGTGTGTCTGTGTTAGAGCAGAGACCTTTGCGCACTTATCATGATATGTCTTAGAAAATCTAAATAAGCAGCTAGAAGAAGTGTTATGATTAGGTCCTGCTGCTACCAACGATTTAATTAAAAATTCCTAAATGACAACCTGCACAATCGCGCCAAGAATCTCTGAATTATCCACTCTTGCAGTTTGACAAACATGTAAATGCAGTTGTTAGATTGGTGGCAAAAGTTAAACCATTTCTGTCTACAAAAGATTTAGAAATCGTAACACGCTTTAATCTCCTCTCAGTTAGACTACTGCAACTCTTTGTACATTGGTCTACCTCAGTCAACACTCTCTCGGTTAAAGTTAGTCCAGAATGCATTAATAACAGGAACTAAGAAAAGAGATCACATCTCCCCTGTCCTCGCCTCTTTGCACTGGCTTCCTATAAAATTCAGAGTTGATTTTAAAATCCTTCTTTTCACTTATAAAGCATTGCACAATTCTGCCCCGGCCTATGTCAGTGAACTTATTAGGCCATATTCAGCTTGTAGACCGTTAAGATCCCATGACCAGTTTCTTTTGTCTGTCCCTCGGTCTCGCTGCAAATCAAAAGGTGATCGAGCTTTCTGTGTTGCAGCCCCAAGGCTATGGAACAGTCTCCCTCTGAATATCAGGATTTCTCCTTCATTGGATGCTTTTAAATCTAATTTAAAGACTTATTTTTACTCTCTTGCCTTTGAGTGACGCATGCCTGTTATTTCTTATTTGTATTTTAATATGACTTTTTTACATATATCATTCACTCATTCATTTTCTTGTCGGCTTAGTCCCTTTATTAATCCGGGGTCGCCACAACGGAACGAACCGCCAACTTATCCAGCACGTTTTCACGCAGCGGATGCCCTTCCAGCTGCAACCCATCTCTGGGAAATGTTTTACATATATATTTCCTTATATTTTTTTAATACCAGTTTTTCATTTTATTGTAAAGCACTTTGGATCAACTACGGTTGTGTAAAATTGTGCTCTATAAATAAAGTTTGCCTTGCCTTGCCTGTTTTACTCCACTGAACTCCTTTTAAAAGCCAGAAATGTTTACAGGCCTATCTAAAGGGTTAATTAATGCTACAAACTGATGATCAACAGTAAAAATGACAAATGTCACCTCTTCCCAACATGGAAAACCAGCAACAATCAAGAATGCCTGATTATACGCTGTCAAGGCTTTGCAATCAAAAAATGTGCTTGTAATGGAAGTCAATGGGGCAAAAACAGCCCCCAACATAACCAAAGGGGAGTCAATTTGAACAATACACAAAGGTTAAACAAATGAAAGTAACTCATAAAGATTTAGAAACACTTGAGGCTGCTTAAATAGAGAGTAAATGTTCATGTTAGGGGTGAATATCTCTTTAACAAGCAGTGTTATTATACACAACGTCTTATACAGAGACACTTACTGGTCTGGGGTAGGGGTTCCTATAATGCAGACCTGGCATGAGAAACAAACAAAAAAACTTTACTGATCATCCTCCTATTTGAAAACACCAAATCTGACATGTACTTCCAACTAAACAAAACTCAAAAGTGAACCACTGATATGTGAGATACACACCAATTTCTATCCGAGCTTCACACTCTTCAATGCATCTCTGGATTGATTCTGGGTCTGTTATCTATAAAGGGGTGGAGGAGAGATAAGAACACATGTGATAGAAAAGAGATCTATGACAGCTCACAGGATGATATGAAGTCAGTCGCACCTGCTGGTTCTGTCTGAAAAGGGTTCGAGCCTCCTGCGTGATGTATTTCTTCTCAGTGTCAGTGTCCTTTGGTATTGAAGACTGAGCCTTCCAGCTGCGTGCAATGCGGAGAACCCGCCGATACAGAGACAGCACATTTGCACGAGACATCTGGACCCTCTGTGAACATCAGCACAATAAATAACACATGTTAGAGGAGCTGACTAAATGTGTCATTTCATATTTGATTAGTGATAAGTTCTTTTTTGTTTTGTTTTGTTCTGTTTTGAGCTCACTAGAACTTCAAAATGACGCTTCAAATTATTCCCTAATAAAAATTCCACATTTTGATAATTACTTTAAATTATTGCTTAATTGAAATTAAAATGCTAAATATAAGTACTTTAACCGCTTCATCATAATTATTATTTCGACATACTCACCGGCCACTTTATTAGGTACACCTGTCCAACTGCTCATTAATGCAAATTTCTAATCAGCCAATCACATGGCTGCAATTCAATGCATTTAGGCATGTAGACATGGTCAAGACGATCTGCTGCAGTTCAAACTGAGCATCACAAGAAGAGGCCACACTTGTCAGCTAAGAACAGGAGACTGAGGCTACAATTCACACAGGCTCACTAAAACTGGACAATAGAAGATTGGAGAAACGTTGCCTGCTCTGATGAGTCTCCATTTCTGCTGCAACATTCGGATTGTCGGGTCAGAATTAGGCATCAACAGCATGAAAGCATGGATCCATCCTGCCTTGTATCAGCGGTTCAGGCTGGTGGTGGTGGTATAATGGTGTGGGGGAGATTTTCTTGCCACATTAGTACCAATTGAGCATCATGACAACGCCACAGCCTACCTGAGTATTGCTGCTGACCATGTCCATCCCTTTATGAGCACAGTGTACTCATCTTCTGATTAAGGCAGTTCTGAAGGCAAAAGGGGGTCCAACCCGGTACTAGTAAGTTGTACCTAATAAAGTGGCCAGTGAGTGTATACTGAACCCTAAACTTAAAGGGACAGTTCAGACAAAAAATGAAGTGTTATTATTTATTTATCTGTTAATAAATATATTTATTATTATCTGTTGTGATCTTAACTCTTAATGGTCACTTTTTTTTTCTTTTTTACATTTTCTGTCTCACCCTATAACTTGTATGCACTATTATGACTTGCACTACAGATTCACCTGATGATTAGAGTCGTCAGTTAGCTGCTGTGTATATGATCATTTTTATATTATTTATCTATTTACTTATTGATTAGGGTTATTCTGTAAAAACTCTTAATTATTCTGTGTACACCAGTACATTTGAATGACAATAAAGTTTGTCAAAGTCAAATGATTCAGTCATCCTGATTGGACATGTTGGGAGAAAATACAGACATCATCTTCTCTAGTATTTTCTTTTCTTTGAATGTAAGTGGTTGCCATGTACAAACATTCTTCAAAATATCTTTATTTGTGTTCCACTGATAAATGAAAATAAAGGTTTGAGTAAAGTATTTTTTAAAAGTGAATTAAGGCTTTGAACACAGTCAAACACTAAAGGCAAGTTAAAATTAGTGTTGGTATATTATTTTGATTCATTCGATCACGAATGTGATGAGGTTTAGGACCATTATCAAATTGTAAAGATGTTACGTCTATAATTAAATGTGTTGCTCTGGCCATTGGCAGGTAGTGGTGTAAAGTAACTAATTACAAATACTCAAATTACTGTAATTAATTACTTTTTCTCAGGAATTGTAAATACTAAGTAGTTTTAATAATGTGTACTTTTACTTTCCCTTGAGTACATGTTTAGTGCAGTATCTTTACTTTTACTCCACTACTGTCCTTCAACCTGCATCACTGCTTTATTATTTCCTGTCTATGCGGATTCGAAAAATCAGTCCTGTGATTCCCGTCCAATCCAATCACACAGAAGGTAAATCACATCATACTGAACCACCTCAAGGCATGGGCGATTTATAATTGCAGCAAACTGTTTGAAAGCATTAAAAGTGTCCAAGAAGATGTCCAAAATCTTTACACACATTGGCTTAGAGACTGTTCAGATGCATGTCACTGATGGGAAGATGACGGATGTTTACTTTAAGATGACTGAAATGGCCTTAAACACCCAGCAGACACAATGCGTCAACTTGATGTCAGATTGATGTTGTACCCCATCGTCATGGAGACGTTGCATTTTGTCATCAAAATCACATTGACATCAGAACCTAACTTCGGGCTGACATCAATGTCTAACAGCCAACCTAAAATCAACCAAATATCAACGTCTACTGATGCTACAGCTTGATGTTGCATGGATGTTACCACTATGACGTCTATCAGATGTTGGATTTTGGTTGTCATAACTGACGAATAAATGTCAGAGTTTGACGTCAATATAATGTTGGTTTAAGATGTTGACTCAACGTTGGATTTTGGTCACTTTCTAACACAACCTAAAACCAATCACATATCAACGTCATCTGATGTCATTATTGGACATTAAAATAACATTGTCCTTAGACGCTGGCTAGACATTGAATTTTGGTTATTTGACATCACAACTTAAATCTAACCTAATATTGACGTCTTATGACGGTGTGTGCCTGCTGGACAATAACTGAACGCACTACAGAATGTTACGTTTACACACACAACCACAAACGACATGTAAACACATCAGCTTTTCCCAGTGTAATGCTCACTACTCTTGAGTACTTTTAAAAGGGCTACTTTTTTATTCATACTTTGAGTTAAACTTTGACAAATTTTTACAACAGATACTTTTACTCGCACTACATTTTTAGGCAAGTAATGGTCCTTTAACTTGAGTATGATTCTTCAGTACTCTTTCTATGGAGTCAATCTAGGGCCATATATACTTGCAACATAAACGAAAGTTTTGCTAACAAAATTAAGTATTTAGCAAAAATTGTGAAAAATTATGCAAATCTCAAAAAAAATTACAAAGGAAAAAATGAGCTCTTGGAAAATAAAAAAAGAATTTTGCAAAAAAAAAAAATACATTTGCGTTTTTTTATGTATATTAAAATAATTATTATTAGCAAAAATATTTGTTTTTCAGTATTGCCTTTACAAGACCTCTCAAGTCAGTTGAAAGGCTCATTTTGATTTGCGGGTTTTAGTCTTTGACGATTTAAACAGCCCCCCAAACAGCGTATAAAATACTTAATACAACGATTGATCATCATGGCTGATTTCCTTCATAGGAGGCATGTCTGGGCATGCTGTACACACCCCAGTTCCAGTGTCTCCGCCCCCTTTTCAAATCAGGGCCAGAAAGTGAAATGCAGATAAAAAGAGAAGGGTATAAATGGAGGTCGGTGCCAGCTCCAAGTGGGTGGGCCTTAGAGCTCCAAGTGGGCTGTGCAAACCTTATTTAGTTGTATTTAGAGTTCAATATTGTGCTTTATGAATGTGTACACCTAACCCTAAACCCAACCTCACAGTAACCTGATGTGTTTTATTAAGATCTACTTCACCTACACCACTTAAACCCAACCTACTTGTGGTTTAAGTCCCTCCCACTTGGAGGTCACCCAACCTACTTGCGGGGTAATCCCTCCCACTTGGAGGTCTTCGGGCTACAGCAATACCTACTTGTTCATAGGAGGCATGTCTGGGCATGCTGTACACGCCCCAGTTCCAGTGTCTCCGCCCCCTTTTGAAATCAGGGCCAGAAAGTGAAATGCAGATAAAAATGTGAAGTGCAATTAAAAAAAAAACAGTATTGCAAACTCACGGTTGACTGAAAAGCAAATCAAAATGAGCATTGTACACATTGCAATTGACTTGAGAGGTTTTGTAAAGGCAATACTGGAAAACAAATATTTAGCAAATATATGTATAATTTATCCCAATTATAAAATGTTCTTTGCACTACTTGATTTTTATTTACAGTTCTTTATTCTTGTTTGCAAAATTCCTTTTTATTTCTCAAAACTCAATATAGCATTTTTTTTTGACATTTGCATTATTTTTCTATTTTATTTTTTGTTTGCAAAACTTTCCTTCATGTTGCAGGTATATATGACCCTAGATTGACTCCATATCTTTCCACTACTGCTGGCAGGTGTCAGAATGTTACTTTAACCATAACTATAGCTAATTATCATCATAATCATGTTCAAATCTTCATCTAGCATTAACTACAAAACAAAAACAGACACCAACAGTGACCTGAAGCGCGTGACAGGGTTTGCGTGACCTCTATAATAATGTTGGATACGCTGTCAATGAGCGATTTGCACTTATCGCATGAATATCTGGCAAGCATTATAATTAAACAGCCTTTTGTTTTCTACATAATAATTCTAGCTGAACTCTAAATGAGCGTTACCTATGTGCGTTCACATCAGCTTATGCGAGCATCTCCGCACTTCCGTACTCCGCCGTCCACGTGCTTGCAAATGATGACGTCCTCAAACTGCGGAGGTTTTTCGTTTCAAACCAGTCCGCGACGCTCCCGGTGTTGCGCAATCGCAAAAAATCTGCGAGGTGCTCGCGTCGCTCATCTCTGCGTATCTTTTGCGCAGACTCTGTCGGACCCAAACAAAAAGAGAAACTGCGATCAATCAGCGGCCGATCCGCGATTCTCTGGTTCCGTGTGGTCGTGTCGAGTTCATCGGGATCATCCGGATTCTTCAAACATTGATGTAGAGGAGTGCGGGATCTGGGGAAGGCGGAGGTTTAACGGGAGCCGGTCCGGATCAGCGCGGGTTCGGTTCGGGCACGGGGGTCTGGAGGACGTGAAGCTGTGAAAATGTCAACAATGATCATCTGATGAACCAAAAATCACCACAAGCACAAGAGACGAGCTTTCCCCTGCTTCAACGCAGATCCAGAACCGATCCGGTTCGGCTGAACGCTGGGATTAGCTTTAGCTTTAGCATGACAGCAGGGATGCGCTGACTCTGACCCGTTTCATCGTCTTTCCACAGGTAAATCAGCACAGAACACGCTCACTTCACACCTCCTGACATGTTCACGTCCAGAACGAACACGTTTGAGAGTTCAAATGAAGTTTAGTGCTTATAAATGAAGCGCACTCTCATCTGAAGCTAACCAGCTAATCTGCTAACATGAGATCAGCTCTTTAAAAGACTTTAACTGTCATGCGGAGCGTTGTTTCATTCACATACAGCCATGTATCAGAGCTGTCCGTATGATTACAGCGTGTTCAGGCTGGATATTTACTGTATTTCTTACAGTCGTAGACAGTTAATCATTATTTAGAGGAAAACTTTCTCATTTATCCTGACAGAGACTCTTGGCTGTGGCTCAAATCTATGAGCTGCTTACCTACACAGCTTTATGGGAATCAGATATCGCTTTGCATGCCTTTTAAAGGCTGCATATTTAAAATAAATACAGTCTATTTAGGATTTAGGTGTCATGGGCATTTGCTTATGGTGATCAACATGTTGCCTAGTGCCTAGGTAGACTGCAACTGTGTAAATATATCTATATGCTGTAACAAATAACAGATTGTGACAGGAATGGAGATTTAATATCAGAAAACTGACATTAAATACATTTTAAGTTATCCTCACTTACTAAGAAGTCCACGCTTTTAGTATGTTTTTTATTATTATTATTGGTTTACCAATGACTTTTGAGGTAATATAGTTATTAATTTTTTTTACTTGCCTTTTAAAAACATGACAATTTAGGCCAAACTCAATCCAAACATAATCTTGCACAAACTGACTGAGGCATGTCAGATATACAGTGAATCAAATATAAAGCCATACAATTACACAAACATACACATTTATAAAACAATTTATAACCTTTTATCAAATATCAAAATATATTGTACAATTTATAAAATATCATAACAAAAAAAGAACAACATGCTGCGCAGACATCAAACAGAAACTCTGCAAAGGGTTAAATAGAAGCATATTCTTGAAACAAATCATACAGTTGTATATAGCCTTCTCACACTTCATTATTTTTAAAGCTTCTGCGTATGTGGCAGACTCCTTTTTAAACGCAGTCAATTGAGGAGCTGCTTTCAAAATTTAGCATTTATGAATGAAGTTTTTAAGTAAACTAGTAAACAATTTCCTCTTTGCTGTCCAAATTTACTCCAAATTTTACAATGTTCTAACAAATAGAAGGAAACATTGAAATTTATTGTTTTATCGAATTGTCCACATCAGACCAGAAAGAACTAACCAAATTACAATGAAGAAATAGATGGTCAACCGTTTCAAGATCACAGTTGCAGAATTGGCAAACATTACAAGGTACTATAGTCTAGGACAGGGGTTCCCAAACTTTTCAGCCCGCGACCCCCAAAATAACAATGTCAGTGACTCATGACCCCCATTTTTCAAGGTGGTTACACTGTAAATATATAAACCTTGTAGACACAACTATAGGCATGTATAAACATGAGCACATTGACAACACATAAATGCAACAGTCTATTAACCGTATATATTTTTTATATTCATTTATTAATTTATAATATAAAACGTAAAGGCTGATGACTTTGATTTTTATTTGTTTATAATAGATAATAATAATATAATAATAATTTTGTTTTTGTTTATTTGTATGTTGTTGTTTATTTAACACAACTATTATCTTCTGTGGGTTATGAGTAAAATATGGTCATTCAAATAGTTTAATAAAACTTATTTGACTTTGGAAATCACCAAGCGACCCCTTGTCATTGTTATGCGACCCCCCAGCGGGTCCCGACCCCCACTTTGAGAACCACTGGTCTAGGATTGGGTTTTACAAACTGAGATCTGTTTTTTCTTCTTTATTATTATTATTTATTTATTTTATTTATTTATTTTTTTGTGAAAAACCTACTTTATTAAACGAAAATGTTTACATTAAATAAAAAAAGTGTAAGTAAATTAATATTACTTTACTATAAGTAAAACAACAGCATACTATTATAAGGCAAATCCTATACACAGTTTAAATTGGATGTTTGTTTTTAAGAAACTTCATAGATGTCTTTTATCGGAAAGCTAATTTTACCAGCAAGTCCTGTTATAAACACACCACATATTAAAAAGTAAGTTGCATTGTGATGATTACATTAAGATGTTTTTAAACGTACAAAACTGTTAGCGCTGAGATCAAAAATAATCGAATTTTTATCAAAAATAAATCTTTTAGATTTGTATTTTATGTATCATTACATTTTTTAAATGTATTTTTATTGTTATAAACCTTTTTGGTTGTAGGAAAGTGATCTTAAAATTAAAAAATGTTTATAAATTGTATCTGTTTTTGCCATGAAAAAGCCAAACAAACTCTCTCGGATGTTGCTAAAAGGGATACAGCTGTGGCCAGAAGTTAACAAGAATAATTTGTTATTTATTAAATAACCTATTAATTGTATTTTATTATTGTATACCCCAACCCTAAACCCAACTCTCACTGTAGTGTAAAAACAATCGTTTTACAGAGTGTTATTCATATTATATATTAAATTACTTATTAAATTGTATTTTATTAACTTCTACCCCTACATCAACCATTATAGTAATGTAAAACAGCAATTATACAAAGAAATATTCACATTATTTATTAAATTGCCCATTAAATTGTATTTTATTAACTTCTCCACTTACGTCAACCCTCACAGTAATGTAAAAGCAGTAGATATAAAAAGTAATATTCATATTATTTAAGAAATTACACAATAAATTGTATTTTATTAATATCTGCCCTACCCAAAACCATCACAGTAATGTAAAAACAGTAATTATTCCTTGTATTATTCACATAATTGATTAAATTACCCATTAAATTGTATTTTTGGCGTCTACCCCCACCGCATCAATCACAGTAATGTAGAAATATGAATTATTGTTTATGAAATTATGCTATAGTGATGTGAGTATCCAGAGCTGTATCTCTTCTAGACTTCACGCCCTCCCTGTCACTCTCTCTGACAAAACCACAATCAACTTTGCCCTTTTTTGCCCCAAATTGTTTGTGACTCCGCAATAACATTAAAAAGGGATACAGCTGCAGATACTCGCATCAATATAGCATCATTTTTGGGACGCTGTACAACAATAATTCATATTCTGACATTACTGTGAAGTTTTGAGTAGAGTAGATGTAAGTAAAATACAATTTAAAGGGAAATTAAATAAATAATTTGAATAAAACTCTGTATAATTACTGTTTTTGCATTAGTATTGATTAGGTTTAGGGTTGGGCTATGGGTAGGCCTTAAATAATATACATTTTAATGGGTAATTTAATCAATAATATGAATAATACATGGTATAATTACTGTTTTTACATTACATGTGAGGTTTGGGATAGGGGTAGATGTTAATAAAATACAATTGGATGTGTAATTTAATCAATAATACTCTGCATAATTACTGTTTCTACATTACTGTGAGAGTTTAGGTAGGGGTAGATGTTTATAAAATACAATTTAATGGGTAATTTATTAAATAATATGAATAAAACTCTGTATAATTACTGTTTTTGCATTAGTATTGATTGGGTTTAGGGTTGGGCTATGGGTAGGCCTTTAATAAAATACAATTTAATGGTTAATTTAATCAATAATACTCTGCATAATTACTGTTTCTACATTACTGTGAGGGTTTAGGTAGGGTAAATGTTTATAAAATACAATTTATTGGGTAATTTAATCAATAATACTCCGTATAATTACTGGTTCTACATTACTGTGAGGGTTGGAGTTAATAAAATACAATTAATGGATAGTATAATAAACAATCATTAACTTCTGGCAGCTGTATCCCTTCTAGCAACAACCTGCCTTCGCTTCAGGTGTAGGTTGCCATGGCGATGACCCCTGCCAGCTTATGTGTCATTTAATCATGCCATCGGGTCACACCAGCAATCCAACACCTCCAATGTAACCCGATTTAGCCTGTTTTATTTAGCTGACCTCATGGGTATTGTGTCGTGGGATAGTTAGTTAGTTAGCTAGTTAATGAGTTTGCTTATGCAGTCTTGTAATCATGTGTGTGTGAAAAGATAGAGATGCTTCATGTGTGTGTCATATTATGCCAGCTCTCTGTCTCGTTCTCAGGCTAGCGGATGTTACGGCCGCGTCCATGGAGTTTCCTCAGATGACACGCGTGTTCAGCGCTCGGGGATTTTGGTGAGTGTGTCCCGCAATTCAGTGTTTCCGATCCATGGTGATGTAATTTCTCTGAGCCTGCTCCACAGCTGCTCTGAAGAGGAAACGGTCCACAGCGCTCATTAGAAAGCACATCATTACGATCCTGCAAGCTGATTGGTCCATACAGCGTAATAGTGCGTCATCATTGCACTGCATTCAAACTAGGCAATTTGAAGTAAGGCTGCACGATATATGATTTTGCATGTTCTCACTGTGTTGGCGTGGGTTTCCTCCGGGTGCTCCGGTTTCCCCCACAGTCCAAAGACACGTGGTATAGGGGAATTGAGGAGGCTAAATTGTCTGTAGTGTAGTGTTTGAGTGTATAAATGAGTGTGTATGGATGTTTCCCAGTGATTGGAAGGGCATTCACTGCGCAAAACATGTGCTGGATAAGTTGGCGGTTCATTCCACTGTGGCGACCCCAGATTAATAAAGCGACTAAGCCAAAAAAAAATGAATGATATATGGTTTTGGCATGGATATTGTGACGTGTGTGTGTGTGTGTGTGTGTGTGTGTGTGTGTGTGTGTGTGTGTGTGTGTGTGTGTGTGTGTGTGTGTGTGTGTGTGTGTGTGTGTGTGTGTGTGTGTGTGTGTGTCCATGATAGTCACATAACAGGATCTGCAATGCTGCATTTGGATTATAGTTGATGAGCACAGCAGTTGAGAATGCATGAGATTGATGCAGTCACTGCAGAGATCAACCAAAACAGAGTGAAAGTTTATCATTTGCATGTGTTTTAAAGACATTTTAAAAGAGTTTAAAGCATTCAAACACAATGCTTTCAAGACTTTTATAAATCATAATTCTTCTGAATTATTAATACAAAGGAGTCTATACTGTAATACAAGAATTGACCGATCAGCTTCAGCTTGTATGGAATATTCATGTTTCGGTAAGATTAGTTTTCTCAGACAAACACAGAACACCCGAACACTGCAGTGCTTTGTTATTTTTTCGATAGATAAAACTTGTATCAGAGTCACAGCAATGTTTTGTCAGCTTGTCATCCTCTGGGAAAACGGTTGATGGTCGCCTAGGCTAGCAACCTACAAAACACCCCCCACCCGACAAATTTGTAATCTGTTTTCTACAAAAAAAGACATTAGCTGCGTCCCAAATGGCACTCCATGCACTATGTACTTATGCACTTACAGACTCAACAGGATAGTATATGTATGTAGTGTTGTCCCAAATGGCACACTAATGTTTTTTTACTAAGCGGAAATTCAGACCGTTTCCCTGATGACGTTTGACGGTTGCCAAATCAGTGAAATAATCGACCGACTTATCAAATAATACCTGCCATGAGTATTGCCGCATTCACCACCAGGAGGCGCTATAATCACTCTCGTAGGAGAATTTTGCTTTCACCATCCAAAATAAATAAAGTTATCCAACATGTGCGCCCGATAGCTCCGCCCCTTCCGCTACGTAAGCAAACCTGCGGTCGTTGAGTGCGTGAAGTGTCCATCATTACACACTTCATTTTAGCAGTTGAATGAGGAGTGCATCATCCGGGTAATTAAAGTGCACTTACTATTTTTAGAGTTTTCAGTGTGAACGCACTACTGACACTATTTATACTACAAAATGGCGTAGAATAGTGCATAAGTATGCGATTTGGGACGCAGCTGGAGTCTCACTGATTCGCCTCGCAGCAATCCTCACACTAATTGGTAGAGCATAAGAACATGCAAGTATTAAATTGTAATAGCCTATATATTTTCCCTTATACACCAGTGTGTACACTGATATTTTTGTTATTGAATGACAAATAGGGCCAATTTAAAGGCCAAAGACTTACGTTTTTCAGTTACAAATGGCCTACTGATGTTTTGTTTTTATATTTGACTATTGTTTGTGCATAAAGATATCTAGATAAGTAATAATACCGTTTGTTTGAAAACAACTTTTTTTGTCATCATTACTGCAAACTTGTATAAGCGATAGTATTATTAAATGTGGAGGGGGCCTTTCAATATTTTCCAGGGGAAAAGGGGGTCTTAGACAAAAAATGGTTGGGAACCAATGCAATAGAGCAGCTTTGGGATGTGGTGGAACAGGAAATTGGCATCATAGATGTGCAGCCGACAAATCTGCAGCAACTGTGTGATGCTATCATGTCAATATGGAGCAAAATCTCTGAGGAATATTTCCAGTATCTTGTTGAATCTATCCCATAAAGTAGGGGTGTCAAACTAAATTCCTGGAGGGCCGAAGCCTTGCACAGTTTAGTTCCAACCCTGCTCCAACACACTTACCTGTAGGTTTCAAACAAGCCTGAAGGACTCAATTAGTTTGATCAGGTGTGTTTAATTAGGGTTGAAACTAAACTATGCAGAGCTGCGGCCCTTTTGGAACTGAGTTTGACACCTGTGCCATAAAGCATTAAAGCAATTCTAAAGGCAAAAGGGGGTCCATCCCAGTACTAGTAAGGTGTACCTAATAAAGTGTCCGTTATTTTTATATAGCTTTTTTCACAACTATCCAGGGTTCTCACACTTCTTGAAAAGACTTGAATTTCAGCTATATGGATTTATCTGTGTAAATTAAAATGAAATAAAAGCTATTAATTAGCACTTCTAGTATGTATTGCCTCTTCTTGTTGAATCGCTGAATGCCTCGTCAGCTGTAAGTCACTTTGGTCACACTTCTCTGACATCTCGTTTCTCTGAAGACGTTGTAGAGCTCATGCAAACAGCACAAACGCTTCATCATGAGTGTGTTATTCGCAGATCATCAGACTGGATCCCTCAGCGTTTAGCTTGCTCTCGCCCTGGCCTACTAACACAGATTAGCACTGCGTTTGCTCATGTCAAGCACATTCTGCATCCTTCTGATATGATCTGGCCAATCAGAATGCAGCAGAATCACTGAATTAAAGCTGTGGGTTTGCTGTCACACACTGATTACCAGTTCTACAACCACAGTGAATAGATTTTCACCACACTGCTAAGCTAATGTCCTGCCCTGCCTCTGATTCACTGGCAGCCTGTAATTTACCACACATTGTTTAACTGGTTTACTTTGTTCGGCTGAATGGGAATTCTGGGCTTATGAGATGCAAAGATGATTCAGTATTTTTCATGCTAGGAATGCACGATTCTAATTGGCTGATGAGCTTTCTAAGGTGTGCCGTTATGTTCTGATAAATGCACCGTTAAAGTAGTCCCGGCAGGTTTGTAGCGTATTCCAGTAAGACTCATTTGATGAGTGTTAAATTGATCACAATGCAGCTTTAATATACTCATTAAATATCATTTAAATCTCTTTACTTTATTATTGTTGAAGTTTTATTCACGCAACAAAATTTAGTATCATCACTTGTACTTTAATGTCCTACAAATATGTTGTTTAATGGGCTGTTGAATGTTGGGTTAGCTGTGCGTTTACCTGAAAATAACATTACAGAATGCTTATCAGCCGAAGGAGTTCCAGCAGGTTTTTTAGCACATACCAGTAGGAATCATTCGAGGTAACTTGATAAGACCAATCTCCACGTGAATGCAAATCCATTCTTGGTGTTCTTAAAATTGAGAATTAGCCACTTTCTTCCTGCTCTCAAACGAAAATGTTTGTTACTGGAGCCTTTATTCCAGTTATTTGCAAAAGTAAGAAACCGTTGTGAAAGTGTGTGGATTGTGGAGTGAGAGATGCTGTTTCTGTGGAAGGAAGTGAAGCTCAGGTTTATGTAGGGAACTTGTGTGTGTGACTTTAAAAGAGGAACCATACGGGTGCGTTTGTTTGTCATTGTTCCTTGGAAATGGGATAAAAATGGGTGTGAAAACCCCCACAGCGGTTTTACATTTAGCCTTTAGAAAGATCTATCCATCTATCTATCCATCTGTCTGTTCTTTAACCTACCTATCTTTAAGTCTATCCGTCTATCCGTCTGTCTGTCTGTCTGTCTGTCTGTCGGTCAATCCATCTGTCTACCTACCTATTTTTAAGTCTATTTGTCTGTCTGTCTATCTATCTGTCTATCCGTCTCTCCATCTGTCTGTCTGTCAATCCATCTATCTACCTACCTATTTATCTATGTCTATCCGTCTCACCGTCTGTCTGTCTGTCGGTCAAACCATCTATCTACCAACCTATTAAAGTCTATCTGTCTGTCCGTCTATCGTCTGTCTGTCTGTCTGTCTGTCTGTCAATCCATCTATCTATCTACTTATCTGTCTAACTGTCTTATCAGTCTCTTCGTCTATCTATCTATCTATCTATCTATCTATCTATCTATCTATCTATCTATCTATCTATCTATCTATCTATCTATCTATCTATCTATCTATCTATCTATCTATCTATCTATCTATCTATCTATCTATCTATCTATCTATCTATCTATCTATCTATCTATCTATCTATCTATCTATCTATCTATCTATCTATCTATCTATCTATCTATCTATCTATCACCAATTCCATACAAATGTCAACCTTGCCATGAAAAAAAATTATGTTTTCGCCAAAATACCTAAACTGTTTCTGCATTTCTATATCAAAAATGTCTCTGTCAGTGTTTTCAAACAAATATATTTGATTTACCGAAGTCACAAAATTGGCAATTTCACATCCATAACAGAGAGATTATCACATCCATAATGACACTCTTTTTTTTCCTCATAAATGCAAAAAATTTTAATTAAATCAAATCAGTTATGTTTGTTATAGTGATCCAACTCTTATCCTTTTGATGAGCCTCGTTTCTTTTGGGTTGTGCAGTTTAATCGACAGAAATTTTACAAAGTATGTTGTAGACTGTAAACACGCTACCTTTTGTGTCACATCCATAATGCACGTTTATTTTCCTCATTTAAAATGTAAAAATGTACAGATTAGTATTTTGTTTTGCTCCCACAACTCTGTAAGAAATATAAACAGATGTTTCAATAATGTTAACATAAACTTTCACTGTCAATTTCTGTTTTGAGATTTTACAGCTAATGTCGCATTCATAATGCTGGAACTGCTCACATACATATATAGGGCTTGACATTCACTATTTGATCACCAGCCACATTAATAGCCACTCTGCATTTTCACTAGCCACAATTTTGTTGTTGGGAAAATAAATTTTATATGCATATTTTTTTACTTTTACATGCTAAAATGACTTTATTTAGATTTTGTGTCATGTCCACATGCCTTATTCATTTTACTTTTTGTGTGTTGTGTTTGAGCTGCTCAATGAGCATGAGCAAATGGGTCGTGGTTTTACAGTGTCGCATTACGATTTGTTTTTATTTCACATGACTTTTCAGAGCTCAAAATGAAAGATTGGCCAAATTTATCTCATTCCTTCATTCATTCATTTTCTTGTCAGCTTAGTCCCTTCATTAATCCGGGGTCGCCACAGCGGAATGAACCGCCAACTTATCCAGCAGGTTTTTACGCAGCGGATGCCCTTCCCATCTCTGGGAAACATCCACACACACTATCACACACACACTCGTACACTACAGACAATTTAGCCTACCCAATTCACCTGTACCGCATGTCTTTGGACTGTGGGGGAAGCCGGAGGAAACCCATGCGAACGCAGGGAGAACATGCAAACTTCACACAGAAACGCCAACTGAGCCGAGGCTCAAACCAGCGACCCAGTGACCTTCTTACTGAGGCGACAGCACTACCTACTGCGCCACTGCCTCGCCCAAATGCATCTCTCCAAACATAAATAAATAACTATTTCTTAACCCCAACATTTAAATGTCAAAGCTGTACACCTTTACTTTTCATTTAACAAAACATTTCCTCCGTTCTTGCGGTCTTGAAATTTTGGAAATGAACTTTGGTGGTTGATTATGACGTTACACAAGGACGTAAGATCGCATGTTGAATAACAGCCCATGGTACTTAAATATGAAGTGAAAACAGATCGTACAACACCTCTTCCAAACAAGATAACCACTAACAATCAAAACTGTCTGTATAATGGAAGCCAATGACAGCCACTAACATAATAAAAGGGTAGTCCGTTTGTGTAGTACACAAGAATTAATACGTTTCCTGACATTGGATGCATTCAAACCCATAGGTCTCAAACTAGATTCCTGGAGGGCCGCAGCTCTGCACAGTCTTACTCCAACCCTAATCATACACAGCTGATTTAATTAATCAAGGTGTTCAAGACTACAGGAGACTATTAAGCAGGTGTGAGTCGGAGGTGGTTGGAGATAAACTGTGCAGAGCCAGAAGTTGAGTTTGAGACCACTGATTTAACCCATAGTAGGCCACACAATGTTAGCATGCTTGAAAATGCTGCATGACCGGCTCTTTAATATCTCGGTGATGTTTCTGTTTGATTCTGAATCTGCAGGGCATGGTGACTGCTGTCCGTCAGCCAGAGCAGAGGCGTCACGCAGGGGCCGTCTGGACCTGAAGGAAGACCTCCGAAACAGGACGAGTTTAAAACGACAGCGAGAGAGACATGGGGCAGTGTGTGACTAAATGTAAAAACCCCACGTCCTCTCTGGGTAGTAAAAGTGGAGACAAGGATGGCAAGTCTCATGGGAAGAAAGGCGGCGGCGGGACGCACAAGGAGGAGGTTGCCAAATCCTCTGCCGAGGTCATAATTAATGGCACCAAAGTGTCGGAGGGGACGGTGGAGGGCCCTGTGGCTCCGGTCATCTCAGCGGTGGATGTGCGGCGTGATCAGTCTGCACAGGACGGCGACGGAGTCTCCATCGATCGGATACATAAGATGTTCTTGTGTTATAAGGACGAACATGAAGACTCTATTCTGGAGGAGGGCATGGAGCGCTTCTGCAATGACCTCTGCGTCGATCCGGCTGAGTTCAAAGTTCTGGTGCTGGCGTGGAAATTCCAGGCTGCTACCATGTGCAAGTTTACAAGGTGAGTTTTAAGTGTGACTTTATATAAACTATGGAACCCTTTCACATTTCTGAGTTTCTGAGCAGTGTCATAGTTGGTAGACTCAGAGTGCAGTGAATGGGAAAGTACAACTAATCCTACAATCCTATTGGCTGAAATAATAAAAGAAAACTACACGATGACGCTATCAAGGCTTTCAGAAAAAGGACAAAAATAGTATACGATACCGGCAGCCAGAAGAGAGAATAATGTCAAATTAAAGCCTGGTTTATACTTCTGCGTCAAGTGATCGACATGACCCATGGCTCCTACCTTGCGTGTAGTCGTGCATTTATACTTCTGGGCGCTGTTTGTGTTGCTCTGCAATAACACTTCCGAATCGCTAGCTGTTTATGTTCCTCTGTGTCGAGTTTCTTCATGGGTGTTTTGTTTTTTTTGAATGCTATCTTAGTGTACAAGTAGCTAAAACTCGCTCATTCTGAGGCGGGAAGTGGCAGATGTGCAACAACTGTTTTGGGGATTTTTAACGACCACAGAGAGTCAAGACTTCGGTTTAACGTCTCATCCGAAAGACGGCGCTCACTGAGCAGTATAGAGTCCTCGTCACTATACTGGGGCATTAGGACCCACACAGACAGCAGGTTGGGCGCCCCCTGCTGGCCTCACTAACACCACTTCCGGCAGCAACCTAGCTTTCCCATGTGGTCTCCCATTCAGGTACTGACCGGGCGCAGCCCTGCTTAGCTTCAGTGGGCGACCATGTGAGAGTTGCAGAGATCTAGCTGCCGGCAGTTGCATTTATCCACACTTGTAGATTGTTTGTTATATTTTATGCAGATGCACTCGTCCTAGTTAATCTACGATTATAAATTCTTTCCAAATAGAGAATAAGGAAATATCGCAATGCTAGATTTTTACAAGATTTTTACAAGATTTTTTTAGGGCATTTTTTTTAAATGCCCTAGTTAATGCATTTAAAAAAAATCTAAATATGAAAAAATTTCAAGGATTTAAAATGCTGATTAAACACATCATAACACGTCTTCATTCATTCATTTGTTTTCTTTTTGGCTTTAGTCCCTTTATTAATCCGGGGAATGTACCGCCAACTTATCCGGCACATTTTTACGCAGCAGATGCCTTTCCAGCCACAAACCATCCCTGGGAAACATTCACACACACTCATTCACACTCATACACTACGGACAATTTAGCCTACCCAATTCACCTGTACCGCATGTCTTTGGACTGTGGGGGAAACCAGAGCACCCGGAGGAAACCCACGCGAACGCAGTGAGAACATGCAAACTCCACACAGAAACGCTAACTGACCCAGTCAAGGCTCGAACCAGCGACCTTCTTGCTGTGAGGAGACAGCACTACCTACTGCGCCACTGCATCACCCATAAGAGTCATGTGAATGGAAAATTTGATGGAAAAAAGAGGAATCATTGCTGAAAAAGTGAGCAGATACTAATGAGCTGTGTTGCGGCAGAGTCCTCCAGCACAGCATTATGGGTGTTTAAGGGTCTGAGGCAATCCTGGAAAATACAGAAGTTGAGTTGGAGTCATAAAAAGAGCTGTTGTGAGTGTTTGATTGCAGACGTTACAGTGTGGTGAGAGATCATTACTCACTGCAGTTCCTTCACCAACACTCAAACCTCCAAACATTGCTTCATCGCGGCAAAGTGTTGCAATGTCCATATTTGTGTGGCTTTCAAATCTGCATTTAATTAAACACAGCCATATAATTTAGTCCATTTCAGTAGTTTATTAAAGTCATACAATTTTTCGATAATCTTTTGAATGTGTGAGAATACCGAAGAAATGATCTGTTGTTATTTCTGTTTGATCACAGTGTGGGTTCATGTTACATGAATGATTATGTTGGCTTGAGAAAGCCAACATACTGTTATGCTACTCTGTCCTTGAAAACAAACGTATCTCCTCCTAGGCCGTTCATGCCACAAGGCCCAAATGTGGTCAAAATGTGCCTTCTGCATTCAAGATTGTTGCTATATCTCCTCATGCCTATAAGACTTATTGTTTTTTTAATAAAAAATGTTCAATTTTAAATTTTTATAACCCGGATATATTTAAAAAATTATACAAGCCCCAAATTTGGCCAAAAGCTGTATTTAGATGCGTTAGATTTTGTTGCTATATCTTTAAGGTTTATCAGACTTATAGTTTTTCATTAAATAATTTTTAAGCATTGTTTTTCTCAAAATATGGCAAGCCATTTTTGACTTAAACTCCATATTTTTACTGATATGGCAAGCCATTTTTGCATGTATAACTTTCACACTTAAGCATTGTATTTTCAAAAATATACGGCAAGCCATTTTTACATAATGTTCATTCCCTTAGTCCCTTTATTAATCAGGGGGCGCCACAACGGAATGAACCGCCAACTTATCCAGCATTTGTTTTACACAGCGAATGCCCTTCCAGCTGCAACCCAACACCAGGACTACATAATGTTCAAGTCCAGTTTTTGACACTCATAAAGACTGTCATAGAAACATCGGGGTTGATTAAGATCACTCAGATTGTCAAGAAGCTTTGATGTATCATCACTAACCTGTCAAATGTCCCCATAGCAATAAAACAGTATAACCTAGCAACCATTTAAAAATAGCAATATCTCTACATCAGAACATCGTAGGGACCTGGGCATTGGCTTGTTTGACTCATGCTAGCAAATGGGACTTCCTGTGTACTATGCATGGTAACAATGATAATGGAAGCCAAATGCTAATAACGATTAGCTACATGCTATGAATGATTATCTAAATGCAATAACATATGCTAGAAATGCCTACTAAGTATTAGCATTTGATCAAACATGTACACGAGCATTGCCATTTAGCAACTGCTTAGCAACCACCTAACAATGCCAGAAACGTTTTAGCAACTGCCTAGCAACCACTTAGCAACCGTGCTTTCTGCCAACTGCCATTCCCAGTCCTAGCGCAGTCACGTTGCCTTTCTCAAGCCAACATCAAAGTTTATCAATGAACTTTAGGTTCTAGTTGTACTGTGTGATTGCACCTTATTTTTACCTCCTCACTGTTGATGGTTTCTATTGCAAATATTTTACAAATATCATACCAGTATTTCCTCTCTGTGTCAGGAGAGAGTTTGTGGACGGCTGCAAGGCGATCCAGGCTGACAGCATCCCGGGAATCTGCTCTCGTTTCTCCGTGCTGCTAGAGGAGTCCCGTGGAGAAGAGAGTTTCAAGGATCTGTATCGCTTCACCTTCCAGTTCGGTCTGGATGCAGAGCAGGGCCAGCGGTCTCTGCAGCGCTCCATCGCCATCGCTCTGTGGAGGCTGGTCTTCACGCTGGACACTCCGCCGGTGCTGGAGCGCTGGCTGGACTTCCTGTCGGAGAACCCGTGCGCCGTCCGCGGCATCTCTCGGGACACCTGGAACATGTTTCTGAACTTCACGCAGAGCATCGGCCAAGATCTCAGCAACTACAGTGAGGACGAGGCCTGGCCGAGCCTGTTTGACTCCTTTGTGGAGTGGGAGACGGAAAGACGGAGACGGGAACACACCGAAACAGACCCCAACGGAGACTGCGAAGCCTCGTCCATGTGACCAGGATGTTTGTATTTCATTTTGGGAGGATGACGGTGAGTTCTGGACTGATTTGTGACTCGTATTATTATTATTATTATTATTATTATGAATTTTGTTTTGTTTTTCTCCGGTCTTAACGCATTGGGCATCCCAGTGTGCTCTTGAACTTTGTTTTTTTTTAACGAAAGGGCTCCAATCGAATTGTTTTTTATTTTAGAAAGCACTTTTATTTAAGTTATTACTGTTTAAGTCGTTTTAAGTGACGTTTGCATTTCAACCAGAGCGGTTTCTTATCACTGATGTTAGTTTGGGATTCACTGACGCGCCAAAGAAAAGGGAATTCTGTCCGCTGCCTGCCGAGTTTGAGCACACACACACACACACACACACGCATATGCATTAGTGTTGTTATAATTTAAGAATTTTGGTACCAATCGGACGTTAATTTCCTGATGACGTTTAAGCTCCGTTGAGTGCGTTCAACACCGCTGATTGGCCATTGTGTTCATGTGCTCAACAGAAATGACTGTGATTGGCTGCGAAGCTCATCAGTTCACCACTGTTGACTGCTGTTGACCAATTATAAACAGAATATTGACACTGGAGCGTTTCATGAGCTGACATACAAGCGACGTGACTTTGAAACACTGCAGCTTCGTGTCTTTGTGTACGTTCAGTGAACAGTGGTGAACTGATGACCTTCACAGCCAATCACAGTCATTTCTGTTGAGCACTGGTGAACACAACAGCCAATCAGCTGTGTTTAAGAAAGGAAATTGACGTTTTTAGTGTTTCACTAGCGATTTGCACTGGGATTCCAGTATCGTGACAACACTCATATGCATATATATATTTGTTTATGCACAAAAAGAAACCCAGACTTAAGTAATGCCAGCAGACATGCTGTTTTTAACGGTTATATTTGGGGTTCTGGGTGTGAGGTGGTAATATTGGTTGTGTTTTACATCAGACTGCGGTGATTGATGTCTTGAAGCTCTCAAAACCTCATTTCTCATGTGCTTCCCTGCTCATTTCTGACTCGGTTTTGTTCGTTTTGGTTATTTTCATTCACAAAATTTCTGATTCCTTCAGTAATTCTGCTGTTCGCTCAGATATTCTCAACGGTCAGGTGTGCGTGTTTGTGTTTGTGTGTGTGTGTGTGTGTGTGTGTGTGTGTGTGTGTGTGTGTGTGTGTGTGTGTGTGTGTGTGTGTGTGTGTGTGTGTGTGTGTGTGTGTGTGTGTGTGTGTGTGTGTGTGTGTGTGTGTGTGTGTGTGTGTGTGTGTGTGTGTGTGTGTGTGAAATACGGATTCATTTGCTGTTGGATGTCTGCTGTGAGCTGCTTCTTTTATTTTACAGTTTACATTAATATGTTTTTTTTTTTAATTCAAAGTGATTCATTTCAGTCTTTTGTGTCTGGTTTTATATAAATTATACAGTTTATAATGAATAAAAATGTGTTGAACATTGGACTTTTGTGTGACTTTTGTACATCAGATTCGTTCATTGCTGAATTATCAGATTCCTATATTAATTTTTATGGTTTATTTTATTAGCAGCAGTGTATTTATTTTTTTATTTTAATATACTCTCACTGGCCACTTTATTAGGGACCCCTGTTCAACTTTCTAAGCAGCCATTCACATGGCAGGAACTCAATGCATGTATTAGGCATGGTCAAGACAATCTGCTGCAGTTCAAAGTGAGCATCAGAATGGGGAAAAAGGTGATTTTAAGTGACTTTAAAGGTGGCATGGATGTTGATACCAGACGGGCTGGTCTGAGTATTTCAGAAACTGCTGATCTACTGGGTTTTTCACGTACAACCATCTCCAGGGTTTATAGAGAATGGTCTGACAAAGAGGAAATATCCAGTGAGCGGCAGTTCTGTGGGCACAAATGCCTTGTTGGTGCCAGAGGTCAGAGGAGAATGGCCAGACTGGCTCCAGCTGATAGAAAGGCAACAGTAACTCAAATAAGCACTCGCTACAACCGAGCTCTGCAGAAGAGCATCTCTGAACACACAACACATCCAAGACCACACCGGGTGCCGCTCCTGTCAGCTAAAAACTCCTGTTGAATTGAGGCTACAATTCACACAGGCTCACCAAAACTGAACAATAGGAGATTTGATAAACGTTGCCTGCTCTGATGAGTCTCCATTTCTGCTGACACATTCGGATGGTCGGGTCAGAATTTGGCATAAACAACATGAAAGCATGGATCCAACCTGCCTTGTATCAGCGGTTCAGGCTGGTGGTGGTGGTGTAATGGTGTGGGGGAGATTTTATTTGCACACTTTGAGTTCATTAGTACAAATTGAGCATCATGTCAACGTCACAGCCTACCTGAGTATTGTTAAGTCCATGCCTTTATGAGCACAGTGTACACATCTTCTGATGGCTACTTCCAGCAGGATAACGCAGCATGTCATAAAGCGTGAATCATCTCAGACTGGTTTCTTGAACATGACAATTTCACTGTACTCAAATGGCCTCTACAGTCCCCAGACCTCAATCCAATAGAGCACCTTTGGGATGTGGTGGAACGGGAGATTTGCATCATGGATGTGCAGCCGACAAATCTGCAGCAACTGTGTGATGCTATCATGTCAATATGGAGCAAAATCTCTGAGGAATATTTCCAGTATCTTGTTGAATCTCTGCCATGAAGGATTAAGGCGGTTCTAAAGGCAAAAAGGGGTCCAAACTGATAATAGTAAGGTGTACCTAATAAAGCAGGGGTGTCCAAACACGGTTCAGCATATTTTAGTTCCAACCCCAATTAAACACCTGAACCTGCTAATTAAGCTCTTTCTAGGTATATTAGAAACTTCCAGGGAGGCGTGTTGAAGGGAGTTGGAGCTATGCAGGACACTGGCCCTCCAGGATTGAGTTTGGACCCCTGTAATAAAGTGACCGGTAAGCTTATTAATCTTATATTATGCAGTAAATTTTCATCAAACGTGTCTTAATATACTGGATGAAATATTATTTTATTTTAAAGCTCTTGTTAGTACTTATCACAACCTATGATGTAGATGCATGTACAGATTTATGAATGATTGTCATGCCAACAAATATTATTTTATTTGGTTATTATCAAGTCAAGTTTATTTGGTTAATAAGACATGATTTTTTCTTAAAATTTCATTCCTGTGAATCTTTGTAAAATATCCTAAATTATTACATATTTTTCGACAAAGTTGCATCGTTTTATAGGGAAAGCGACAAACAACAGTGGTCAATATTTAGTATGATCAATGGATTTGATGTCTAAATATGATTATTTAGTTTGTCTTACACCACAGACTTCTTCTAACCAAGCAAATATTGAGATAAAGGATATCATTTGGTTTAAACAGATGTTTTTATGAATTTGATATCTATTTTTTTTCATCCTTTCATCAGGTAAGCTGAATCTTTGAGGGTGACTTGAGAATACTTTTAATAGTCTTCTATAGCCTACCTTTATACAAGAAAATTAGCGTGTTGATATATTTGTCGAACTAATATGTTGCAGTCGGACATTTGTATGGAGCAAACGTTTAATGTTGACTTCAGCTGTGTGGGCGGATCTTTAATTTTAGGAGTTGTGTTGTGATTGGAGAGCGATTCACCTGGATACAGCCGCTTCACCACGGCTTGTGGGCGGGCCCTTTTCCGTACTTCACCCCTGTGAATGGTCAGTTGCGTTGTAGGGTGGGCGCTGTGTGTTGGAAACGCGCTGTGATTGGTCAACATTCCGCCTAGTTACAAGCCCTCAGCCAAGGCATCATCAACAACAACACGCAGACACTCCTGCAAACAGAAGGGCTATTTCAGCGGAGAGATGTCATGGACTGTAAGTAAATTTCTTACACGTGTATATTAATGTTTTTATCATTAGATAGCAGAGCGAATATGAATATTTAGGTCATAAAGTTTAATGGCGGGGTGGGTCTGTTTATATATATCTATGGTGTGTGCTGTTAGCAGAAAGGCTAACGTTAGTTATCAGCACGAGCATCCGTATTAGATCTGATTTGATCTGTATTATCGAATTGTTTAGCTAATATTAGAGTTTAGACTAGGTTAGATTAAGTAATACTGAGATTCTCTAAGCTTTATGAGATAATTAAAACTAGAGCTGTACATTGATATTAATAAACATCATAAATGCACGGTTTATATTATTAGAAGTGTTAAAAGTCATTATCTTTATTAATTATTTACACTTATATAGTATTAAGTAGCTTAGTTCTTAACTATGATTGAGATGTGCTGTGATATTTCCCTTTAGAATTATGACTCAAATATTAATGTTGTATAAAATATATTCACACTTTACACGAAGGTTTTGTTAGTCAATTTTAATGTATTTACTAACACAAACTAGTTATGAACAATATGTGTACATCATTTGTTGATCGTACTTAAACGTTTATTATTGCATTGTTAAAGTCCAAATTTATACTTATTAACATTAATGCTAACAATAAACACCTTTATTTCCATTAACTAACATTAACAAAGATGAATAAACATGGTATTAGATGTATTCATTGTTTGTTCTTGTTAATTAATACAATAACTAGATATTCAGCAGAAATCTTTACATTTTTATCACTGACTACCTGACTAAAGTCTTGTCTTTGATCCCAGCTGGAAGAGCAGCAAATAATAACTTGACTTCTAGTTGATAATTTAGAAAAGTGTCAGAAGGTGGATTTTCCCTATGAATCATCTGTTGATCTGCATCCCAATCATCACTAATACTGCAGAAAACCTACTGGAACCCACATGGAGACTAGATTCTCATAGAAATCAGTCAAGTTTGGTTAGGTAAAAATCATGGTTTGGGGTCACATTCAGTATGGGGGCGTGCGAGAGATCTGTAGAGCGCATGGCAACATCAACATCCTGAGGTATCAAGACATTTGTGCTGCCCATTACATTACAAACCACAGGAGAGGGTGAATTCTCCAGCAGAATAGTGCTCCTTCTCATACTTCAGCCTCCACATCAAAGCTCCTGAAAGCAAAGACGGTCAAGCTGCTCCAGGATTGGCCAGCCCAGTCACCAGACATGAACATTATTGAGCATGTCTGGGATAAGATGAAGGAGGAGGCATTGAAGATGAACACAAAGAGTCTTGATGAACTCTGGGAGTCCTGCAGGAACGATTTCTCTGTCATTCCAGATGACTTTATTAATCAGTGATTTGAGTCATTGCAGAGATGTATGGATGCAGTCCTCCAAGCTCATGATGGAGTCAGACACAATAATTATTCTGTCTCCACTGCAGCAGGACTTTATATTCTATACTGGACATTATTTCTGTTCAGTGATGAGACTTTAAGCAGAGTCAGACCTTACTGTCCTAATGAAATCATTCAAAATCAAGGCATGATCATGTTTTATTTTAGTCAAATGAGCGTCATCTAGAGGCCTTTGCCTTTTATATGAGCCACTTCTGATACCAAATGATCAACTAGATGTCAACTTATTATTTACTGTTCCTAAAACTTGGATATGTGACGACTTTTGTCAGGTAGTGTATATAAACGTACAAAATAATATCTAATGTGTGTATTAAATTTGTAACTCTACATTTATTAATGAAATGTTTTGTCATGATAATAGTTGGTGTTGGTGAAATGGCAGTAAATAAAATGATATGATATAAATACAATGACCAACACAACCTTATTGTAAACTGCTGCGCAAATATGAACACTTTGTGAGTGTTATATAGCTTTTGATTCAGTACATGTAGGTTTAGTCAAATAGATCTGTTACAGCACGAATACACCGATTTATTCACCGCTTTACATGAATTTCTGAATTGTGTTTAGATTGCTGTCATGTGCAGTGGACACCTGACAGAAACACAAGCTTCATTGAATAACGCTCTTCACAATTATTAACAGATCTCCTTCATTTCCTGATGTAAATCTCACACTTTTTCTTCTTCTTCCAGTCTTTTCCTTCTCTTCATATTTCACGCTTCTCTTTAGTGTCCAGATGCTGTGATTGAGAAACAGTGCAGATTCTGTAAGAGTTCTTGTCTTTCACGTCTGTATTTCACATCTTTAGCATTAAATGCAGTTCATCTGATTTCTTTTAAATGATCATCGTTAAAGACATTGTTTTTTTTTTTTGGTGTTGATTTTAGGACATTTAAGAACATTCTAGGGGATTTTTACTGTCTTCAATTGAACATTTGAGAACATTTTAGTTGAGATTGAGGTCCTTAGCGTTGAACCCTGCCTTGTATTTTATGAAACACCAAGGATTTTTTCTACTGATTCGACCGGGCCAGTGGTCTAGATTTTTACTGGCCCCACCAAAAAAATTTAAATAAAAAAATAAGAAGTTAATAGTTTTTTTTTAGCCACATATTTTAAATAATGTGTCAAAAATAATGCACTGTGAAACTGTGAATCTAGCATTTCAATACTTAAAAAAGTTAGTAAATGGTTATTGAGC